TGATGGACAGGCTGGTCTCAAACTCCTGACAGGTGATCCACCCACCTGGGCCTCCCAAAGTGCTGGGATTACAAGCGTGAACCACCGTGCCCAGCCTGAATTCAACTTTTAATAATAAAATACATAATTTAAAAATAACATAATAAAAGTACCCAAGATTAAACTATAAAGGATACAGCATAGTGAAAAAAAGTTTGCCTAGATCAGAAGCCAGAAGACTATTTTGCACTTTCTCTTACTAATACGATCTTGGGAAACTCCTTCAACTATTCTGACTTGCTTTCCCTTTTGTAAATGGGAAATAATACTTGTAAAGTACTAACAGAGTTCCTCAAAGAATAAAATAAGACTGAAAATTATAATGTATTACAGCAAGGGAAGGCATTACTTAAAAATAATCCTAGAGGCGGGGCGCGGTGGCTCACGCCCGTAATCTCAGCACTTTGGGAGGCCGAGGTGGGTGGATCACGAGGTCAGGAGATCCAGACCATCCTGGCTAATACAGTGAAACCCCCTCTCTACTAAAAATGCAAAAAATTAGCCGGGCGTGGTGGCGGGCGCCTGTAATCCCAGCTCCTCGGGAGGCTGAGGCAGGAGAATGGCGTGAACATGGAGGGTGGAGCTTGCAGTGAGCCAAGATCACACCACTGTCTGTACTCCAGCCTGGGTGACAGAGCGAGACTCCGTCTCAAAAAACAAAAACAAAAAAGTATATAATATGTATGTATACAAAATAATTGCAGAAATTATCAGTGTTACAAGGGTTAGGATTCTTTTTTTTTCTTTTCTTTTTTTTTTTTTTTGAGACGGAGTCTCGCGCTGTCACTCAGGCTGCAGGGCAGTGGCAAGATTTCGGCTTACTGCAACCTCCGCCTCCCCCGTTCAAGTGATTCTCCTCAGCCTCCCGAGTAGCTGGGATCACAGGCGCCCACCGCCACACCCGGCTAATTTTTGTATTTTTAGTAAAGACGGGGTTTCACCATGTTGGCCAGGGTGGTCTCAAACTCTTGACCTCAAATGATCCACCCACCTAGCCTCCCAAAGTGCTGGGATTACAGGCGTGAGCCACAAGAGTTAGGATTCTTTTTAAATGACTGTGAAAACTCCACAATGTAACACAGTTAGACTGTATTAAAGTCGTTACATTCATCTTACACATATTGGCAAAATAGCTAGGATGGCAAGCTTTCTGCTCAAGTATTTAAATGTTGTTAAGAGTAGGCCAGGCCTGGTGGCTCACACCTGTAATCCCTTCAACTTTGGAAGGTCCAGGTGGGTGGATCCCTGGACTTAGGTCACATTTTTTTGTTGAAAAAACCAAAGTATATATATTTAGTTTCTGATATTTACTTCACGAACCATAGTCTTACCAACTTGTTTTTTTTTTTTTTTGAGACGGAGTCTTGCTCTGTCACCCAAGCTGGAGTGCCGTGCAACCTCTGTCTCCTGGGTTCAAGCGATTCTTATGCCTCAGCATCCGAGTAACTGGGATTACAGGCATGCGCCAATATGCCTGGCTAACTTTTCTTTTCTTTTTTTTTTTTTTGTATTTTTAGTAGAGACGGGGTTTCGCCATGTTGCCAAGGCTGGTCTCGAACTCCTGACCTCAAGGGATCCACCCACCTGGACCTTCAAAGTTGAAGGGATTACAGTTGTGAGCCACCAGGCCTGGCCTACTCTTAAGAACATTTAAATACTTGCAGAAAGCTTGCCATCCTAGCTATTTGCCAAGCTGGATACAGAGGGGCAGTACATTGTCCTTTATTTGTTCTCTTATTCCTACCTAAGGACTGGATACAAGCTTTCTTAAACCAAGAATAGATTTTCTCACCAAGAGAGTCATGGCTTTTGGAAAACAGTGTAGTTCCAACTTTCCTCAATGCCCACAGCTTCAGCTAGAAGGGACACAATATTGCAAGGGTCCATGGAAGGGCGGCTTGAACAATTCTCTTCTACTCTGCAAACAGATGCTCTTACGTTGGCTAACTGGGTATTAGTGTGGGCTTATCCTGAAGAGCAGCATTTGATGAACTACCACAGCTGGGAATTAACAGAAAGGGCTGCCCCACGCGGAATGGCAAAGCCAGCATGCAGTTTGTATTACATACGTCCACTCTGAATCTCTTCATTCTTCTCTCATGCAGGTGAGGAACGAGCTGCAGCAACGGATGCACAACAGATGACTGAGAGGACATGAACACACACGCGATGAGCACATGGCTCTCAGCACTGGCTATCAAGACGCTTCCTATTTGTTTTTGTTTTTACCCACTAAACTTGTCCCAGACAAAACAGAAAATTAAAGATGTCACCTAAAACAGCTCTTTGGGAGCAATTCAAAGAACTGTGGAGAATGAACCAAGAGATGGGATAAAATTTGGTAGCTCTACACTGGGATTTTTGTCCTCATATTGAGAAGAAGCACTTTCCCAACAGCTGCAGCTCTCTTGTGAACTGTCAGCAAGTAAAACCCCTCATTGCCTCTTTGAGAGCCAAAAGGCAGTCTGTCTGTTACTACACTTAGTCAGAATAATTCGGGCCAGGCAAAACCCACACTGCCAGTAGCAATTTTCCACTATAAACATGTTTATCTGGAAGATTATACTATACACACATCTAATAACCTCCTTTATAAATTATATACTTAAAATAGAAACATTGGGAGCAACACAACAATGTGTGAAAATGACAATGTGTTCTCGATAGTGAAAACTGTGACTAAGATACATTTTCCCAAAATGTAAAGGTGCCAAGCCAAAGAAAATGAAAGCACACTTGAGATATATAGCTACCTACCTGCTATGGCTGCATTTTTAAAAAAGGTGTGGGTCACACTGAGACTTCTCATTAATGTTAAATTCATTTATGACATGGATTATGTTGAGCCCTATATAACAGTTATCAGTTAACTAATTCAACTGTACTTGGTGTAAAGCCAGTATAATCTTTCACCTCCTCATATGTTAAGAATATTCCATGTGATAAATATTTCAAACTGAGTTTAAGATTACAGTTACCTTTCCATAGGTATGTATCTGCTTAAAATTCACTATGCTCCTCATTCCCTAAATTGGTTCACGGAAGTGAATCACAAGTGTGGAAATAATATCATAGTCAAATAATTTCTAAGTATTCTAGATTGAAACACCAAGTAGGCTGGTTAGTATTTTTAAAATCTATGCCTACAAAAAGAAAAACTACTGCTAATACTACATGATTTTAAAGTGAACTGAATTCAAGTTACTGGTTTTTGGCTAACCTTAGAGAATACATTCGCACATTAAATGCCTAATTACTAATAAGAACATCTTAGGAATAGAAGAGGATATTTCTAATTATATTTAATTACATTTTCGACAATCATCCTTTAAAATAAAAAATGCCCTTGGATCAAATGATTTTTTAATTTGCAACAATTGCCATCTGAAACAATATGTTTTACTTATTTATTTGCTTTTTTATTTTCTTGGTCTTTAGAATGTGTTTCACAAAAGCAGGGACTTTTCTTTTCTTTTCTTTTCTTTCTTTTTTTTTTTGAGACAGAGTATCACTCTGTCGTCCATGCTAGAGTGCAGTGGCGTGATCTCAGCTCACTGCAACCTCCACCACCTGGGTACAAGCAATTCTCTTGCCTTAACCTCCCGAGTAGCTGGGACCACAGGCGTGCACCACCACACCTGGCTAATTTTTGTATTTTTATTAGAGACAGGGTTTCACCATGTTGGCAAGGCTGGTCTTAAACTCCAGACCTCAAGTGATCTGCCTGCCTCGGCCTCCCAAACTGCTGGGATTACAGGCACGAGCCACCATGCCTGGCCAGGGATTTCTTTTTTAAATTTTGTTTTATTTATTGCTATATTTCCAGTACCTAGAATTGTGCCTGGCACATAGCATATAGCTAATACTTTGTAAATAACTGTTAAAGAATGAATGAATTAAAGAATGAATTTAATGTACAGGTAGTAATTGACATATAAAATAAATCAAATGGATAATAAATATTGAATTTCATTCTTTTACTCACATATAAACTTTTAAAGTAAAAAATTTGAATTCTGATGTAGCTCTGTTATGCTGCAAAAACAGGTTCATTATTTTAAACAAATATTAGTGATTACTAAGAAGTAGTTCTACAACTTACCACAACATTTGAATTGCCCAACTTCTGTGTCTTCGAATAATGAAATAAGAACTGTTTTAAAAAAGCAGTAAGTTTTACCATAAGAATTAATGGTTTCCTTATTATTTTATAAGGTATAGATTTATGAAAATCATCTTACCCTTTTAGTATTATCTTTTTCATCTTGTTCCTATTGAAAAGAGATATTATATCATTATATATTATAAAATTGTACTATCTTATATACAATAATTTTATAATGTTATAGCACATAATTGTTTAAAACACATGACTCATGTTACATATAAAATATAAGACTGAAATTAGTTAAGCATCCCTTGCTCTAAAAATAAATGGGAAATTAATTGAATATTGTTTACAAATACGATGTGCATAAAGATCTCTTTACTGCAACTTTATTCATAAGAGTGAAAAATTGGAAACATCCTAAATATTCAACAGTGGTAGAATGCGAAATTATTATATCATGACATGATGGAATATTCAGAGGAGAAGACTGAAAGAATCACATGAAAGTATTTTTACTGTTTATCACTAAATAAGAAGGTTATGAGTTGTTTTTGATGTCTTTCATAAAACAATTTTTAGCCGGGCGCAGTGGCTCACACCTGTAATCCCAGCACTTTGGGAGGCCGAGGTGGGCAGATCATGAGGTCAGGAGATCGTGACCACCCTGGCTAACACGGTGAAACCCCGTCTCTACTAAAAAAAGACAAAAAATTAGCCGAGCGTGGTGGCACGTGCCTGTAGTCCCAGTTACTTGGGAGGCTGAGGCAGAAGAATGGTTTGAATCCGGAGGCAGAGCTTGCAGTGAGCTGAGATGATGCCACTGTACTCCAGCCTGGGTAACAGAGCGAGACTCCGTCTCAAAAAAAAAAAAAAAAAAAAAAATTTAAATCGTATAATTCCTTTTTTGTTGTTGTTCTTTCTCACTTGGTTTTAATACAAATGGAAGATCATGAATAAACACCATTGTCATTTATTTTATCTTAATTAGGAAAAAATCAATTATGCTTTTTGGGACAATGTCACCGTTAGAAACAATGGATAAATGTACAATTGTAGGCAGAGATTATTTAGTTTCATAAAACATTTATGCTTTCAAATTATCAATTTTTTTCTTTGAATTATTATATATAAAAGGTATGAAAGTCAGAGTGTACCAATGACCACAGATTGTTAGAATTGCAAATGAAAAGTATAATTCCAAACCTGAAGCTCTCATTTTTAATAAAGTAGCTTAAAAATAAGTTCATCCATAAGACAGAGATTATAAAATTAGGTAGAGTGCTTATGCTACTTTTCAAGTTTCCATCTACCCTCACTCTAGGACAAAAAGTTCTCCCAGAAGAATCAAGTAATTTTAATAAGAAACCAAGATAATGACAATACAGTTTGCTTTTGTTTTGCATTCTTAATGTCCTACTCTCCCACAAGGTACAATGTCCTAACCTTTGAACCATTAGATGTGCTTAGCAGCTTAGAAAGATGCATCTGTTCTCCAAAGTAGCATGAGTCAGGGCAAAAAAAGAGAGCCAACATGACCCCATATTTATTCCTCCGGACTGGAACTCATTTTATATTTGATAGGGACATATGATTTCCCAATTAGATTACTGTAAGCTCCATTAATATGATGCTCAATTCTCAGACATCAGAGAAACTGAATTATTTCTTATCCAAAAACAATTTTTCCTCTTCTAACTTGTCTTGGCATGCTTCCTAAATTGAGTATATTTTCTTCCAGGAGAAATTCCAAGACATTTTTGGATAATTTTTGTCTACAAACAAAACACTATTTCAACCTTACCTGAGGCTTTGGTAGCATTCCCATAATCACAAAGCAAAGCTCCTCCAGTGCATTGGATGCCTGACAGAAATGAGAAGATATGTAAGTTATGCTTCTGCTTTAACGACATTTACATAGAAGAGATAACTATAAAATGTTAGCGGCATGAGGAAATGCTAACTACCTAGAAAAGAATCCTTCCGTAGATTATTAAAACTGCTGGAATCCTTTGATTTCTCTCACAACAAAAACTTGGCTGTAAAAGTAAAGCCTTCCTTCTCACCAGAAACAACAAAAAAAGGTAAGTACTGTACATACGCACTCATGAAGGCTTCCGCTGTGATCTAGATACATAGTTCTCAGCACTTGCTAAAATATTATGAAATTCTATGACTGAGGGTAACAAGGGACAGTGCCAGAAAAGGAATTATTCTTCCCAGCTTGTAGCAAAATCTGCATCTACATGCCAAAGCTGTGAACCTCACTGAATATTACTCATTATTGGCTAATCTGAAAATCCGGCAATTGCTCGAAAACAATGGGAAGTGGAGGAGAAGAAGCCATGTGTGGTGCACCTAATCTGCGTACCACCCTTCCAGGTTGCTGACTGCACACCCCAGGATCAGGTTTTTCAAAGCATTCAAACACAGAAGTAGGGCAGGGCTCTGTGGTTAGCAGCCAGCTGGGTGTGGTAAGGAGTAGAAGAAATGGACAAGCAGGGGCGAAACCTGCTTTGCACAGAGTTTAGCACAGTAGCACCATAAACAATTGATTACTTAATATATGCATTTTGGAAGTAATGAAGAACTAGAACAGTGGGGAGGGCAATATAATTAGTGGTTAAAAGCATGAGCTATGGAGTTGGGAAGGCTGTAACTCTACGCAGTGCAAATTCCATTTCTGCTCTTTATTAGCTGTGTAACCTTGGGCTGGTTACCTAACCTCTCTAAATTTCTGTTTATTCAGCTCTAAGCTGCGGATGACATCACTGCAGAGAGTTCTTAGAAGAATTAAATGTAGGTAAAGTTCTCAGGTTGATTTACAGCTGAAGTGATTCTTAATTTAGAAGTTATATGAAAAAGAGGTCGGGTGCAGGGGCTCTCGCCTGTAATCCCAGCACTTTGGGATGCTGAGGCAGGCGGATCTCCTGAGGTCAGGAATTCGAGATCAGCCTGGCCAACATGGTGAAACCTAGTCTCTACTAAAATCCAAAAAGTAGCCAGGCATGGTAGCACGCGCCTGTAATTCCAGCTACTAGGGAGGCTGAGGCAGGAGAATCACTTGAACCTGGGAGGCAGAGGTTGCAGTGAGCTGAGGTGGCGCCACTGAACTCCAGCCTGGATGACAGAGTGAGACTCTGTCTCAAAAAAAAAAAAAAAAAGAGATATATGAAAAGAATTGTTCAGGGCCTCAAGTAGTCTCACCTTCTCTCCCTTTGAACAACAGTACATGCTTGACATGGTTGGTTGTGGTTCGAGATGCAGGTGGAGTTGACAGTTTTCCTGTGCACCCTTCCTAGCATCAGAGGTCTGCTTTGTTCTCTTCATTCCATTTGTTTGCTTGTCATGCAAATTCTTGGAGTATTTATTAATAATGCCTCACATGTACATAGTGTTTCAATAAATTATAAAACACTTTCATATACAGTCATGCACCACATAATGGCATTTCAGTCAATCAGTCAATGATAGAGTGCATATACAATGGTGTTCACATAAGATTATTATGAAGCTGAAAAATTCCTATCATCTAGTCATAGCTTGATGATCCTGACCTGTGTAGGCCTAGACTAATATGAATGCTTATGTCTTCATTTTTAACAACAAAGTTTAAAAAGTCAAAAAAAAATTCTTTTTAATTTCAAAAGCTTATAGAATGAGGATATAAAGAAAGAAAATATTTACATACACCTGTTCAACGAATTTGTGTTGTAAGCCAAGTGTCATTACAAAAGAGAAAAAAGTTCTAAAATATTAAAAAGTTGGCCAGGAACGGTGGCTCATGCCTGTAATCCCAGCACTTTGAGAGGCCGAGGTGGAAGAATTGCTTGACCCTAGGAGTTTGAGACCAGCCTGGACAACATAGCAAGATCCTGTCTTTACAAAAAATACAAAAAATTAGCCAGGTGTGGTGGTGCATGCCTATAGTCCCAGCTACTCAGGAGGCTGAAATGGGAGGATCATCTGAGCCCAGGAGTTCAAGTCTACAGTGAGCCATGATTATGCCACTGCACTCCAGCCTGGATGACAGAGTGAGATCCTGTCTTGAAAAAAAAAAAATTAAAAAGTTTATAAAGTATAAAAGTTATAGTAAGCTAAGGTTAATTTATTATTGAAGAGAGAAAAATTTTTTAAATAAATTTAAAGCAGCCTAAGTTTACAGTGTTTATGAAATCTGCAGTAGTGTATAGTAATGTCCTAGGCCTTCACATTCACTCATTACTGACTCATTGACTCACTCAAAGCAACTTCCAGTCTTTCAAGCTCCATTCATGGTGAGTGCCCTATACAAGTGTATCATTTTTTATCTTTTATATTATGTATTTACTGTACTTTTTCTACATTTAGATATGTTTAGATACATATTGTGTTACAACTGCCCACAGTATTCATTACAGTAATGTGCTGTACAGGTTTGTAGTCATATAGCCTAGGTGTGTAGTAGGCTGTACATCTAGATTTGTGTAAGCACACTCTATGATCTTTACACAATGACAGATCATCTAAGGACACGTTTCTCAGAATGTATATCCCCATTGTTAAGTGATGCATGACTATACATAATTTGTATTCTGTCCTACACAGGACATGAATTGTGATTCTCATATACAGAGGAAGTGAGGTTCTAAGAGACTGTCACTTGCCCAATACCACACATGGCTAGGAGTTGGAGGAGCATGGCCTGGGACCTTGGCCTTCTGATTTGTAGATATTCTTGTGTTGCATTGGTATTGCCTGCTAAGCCTAGAGTTGGGAGTTGGCAGCGAGAAAAACTAGAGTGTGAACACTGATACATCCTTTCTCACTGGTTATACTTAAGGGCTGAATACACAGGTCACCCCACAAAAATCTGAAATAAAATCCCTAAAACTTCTCTTACCAGCCTAGGCAAGATGGTGAGACCCCCATCTGTACACAAAATTTTTTTCTTTTAATTAGCTGGGCATGGTGGCATGCCCCTGTAGTCCCAGCTATTCAGGAGGCTGAGCTGGAAGGATTGCTTGAGCCAAGGATTTCGTAGCTGTGGTGAGCTATACTTGTACCACTGCATTCCAGCCTGGGATAGAGTGAGACCCTATCTCTAAAAACAAAAACAAAATGCTCCACTTACGATCATTTCAAAATAGAAAATACAAAACAGTAAGAAAAAAATACGCAGTGATATCATGTGTCAAAAATGTATTTCACCTCAAAGAAGAACAAACACTTATAGCTGATTTCAAAATAGAAAATACAAAACAATAAGAAGAAAATATCTACAATGTCATGTTTCAAAAATGTATTTCAACTCAAAGAAGACTAAATTCACACATGTGAGCTGTTTCTCCTTAGGAAACAGTTTCTAAGCTGGATGAGGTTCAGTAAGATTGTACTTTGACTGAAAAAGTTTCAAAGCAAATGTATTTTCCCCAACTCCCCTTTACAAGAAGTCAATTCTCAACTATTCTTCAAGGATTGAAATACATGGAAGTTTTAATATCTTATTTTTAAATTTATAGACCTTAAAGATAACATTTTCTACTTGGTAAAAATGTTTCAAAGCAATGGTCACATAATCACATAAATAATAAGATAATAGTGTATGTGAAAATTAACAATGTTTTAAAATTTTATCAAATTTGGTGGTACATATACACCACTGAATACTATGCAGCCATAAAAAAGAATGAGATCATGTCCTTCGCAGCAACATGGATGGACCTGGAGGGTATTACCCTAAGCTAAATAACACAGGAATAGAAAACCAAATACCACATGTTCTCACTTGTAAGTAGGAGCTAAACACGGATGCACATGGCCAAAAAGAAGGGAACAATAGACACCAGGGCCTACTTGAGGGTGGAGGGTGGGAAGAGGGTTAGGATCAAAAAATTACCTATCTAGTAATATGCTTATTACCTGGGTGATGAAATAATCTATACACCAAACCTCCACAACACACTTTACCTACATGACAAAACAGCACATTTACCCCGAACCTAAAATTAAAAAAAATTATTTAGGGTCTGTGGGCTGTATCAAGGGATTTTGACATTATTCTAATTGCAATAAGAAACCGTAAGAAGATTTGGAACAAAGCAGTGATATGATGGCTTAGTATTTTAAATGACTAAGTGATGCTAAAACCTTCAATCTGAGTACAATAGCTATACTTACAACTAGTTTTCAGTTGTGTACTGAATTGCCCACTCATGAATTGAGTTTATTATCAATGTTTTGAGAAAATAATGTCAATTTTTAGAAATTATAGTAATTACTGTTATGACAATATCCCCATTGAATCACGCCTCCCTGTATCCATTGCCTTTATGTAGTCAGTCCCCTAACGCAGACACTGAGTGTGGCCCCCCACATTGACTCTGTGTCTTGCTTTGGCCAGTGGGGCATGAGTAAACATGTTACAAGCAGATGTTTGAAACCCACTTAGGTAACGAGCTTGCTCTCCCCACTGCTGGTGGAACCCAGCAACCATGTGAAAAAGTTCAGACTAGCCTGCTGGACTGTAAGTAACACTTCGCCCAGCTGCCTCCACCACCCCTGCTAATAGCCAGCCAACGATCACCAAGCATATGAAGAAACCCAGCCACAGAAGTAAGCCCATAAAATGATATATTCCCAAAGCATCAGGAATACAATTTTTAAAAACAATTCCTAATTTATTAACATTACTTATTCCTGTGAAGGTACCCAAATACAGTTACTACACATAAACACCATTCCAAAGAGATGCATCTGTATTCATTTAGCAGCTATTTCTAGGGAAGGGACTGGTAAATCTATCTCTTTTATACAATTTATTTCATTTATTTCCTTTGAATTTTGAATAATTCATAATTTCACACGTTTCAAAGCAAAAAAATTATAAGATGATATCCAGTTAAAAAGTCCTCCTTTTTCTGTTCTATCCACCTAGGACTCCCCTTCCACATAACCATTGTCATTTATTTTGTATGTATTCTTCCAGAATTTATATTTTTTATTTGAGAGCTAAATCAGTAAAACCATATTTATATGGTTTTTAAACTAGTGAATGGGCCATAAAAAGGGATGATATAATGGTATTTGTTACAAGAGAAAAATTTCTGCATAGCATGCTTGCTGCTGGGTTTTATTAACAAAGTAATTAAAGAGATATTTACTGAGTCTCTCCTCAAGCATGATTCTAGGTGCTGGCTATAAATGTATCCCATATAAGAACAGCACCAATATACTATGGTGAAACCAAAATTAGGTTTTAATGCATAGCTTTAATTTCACACGTAATAAAACAATATTTTTTAAAGTATTAAATTTATTACTATTTACATTATAAATGTAAAAGTTACAAATAGTAAATTTACTAAGCTACTCTTGAAAGAGGCACAGTACTGAAATCCAGTCAAACATTAGTTTATCTTGATGAAGTTTAAATGAGCGCTTTAAAATTCATCCTCTTAGTACTGAAGACCTAAAAGTGATTTTGAGGATGTTCCTGAATTTTAAATACAACACAAATGCATATATACTGATTAATATCTATCTCATGTTATTAATATATATCTGCCAATGCTCCTGGATTAATTTGAAACATTGTTCAAAAACGTCATCTATGGTGATCTTGTTCTTGCTTTACTACCTAATACCTCAAATTTCCAGCAGGTACCTAGGGTATAGATTGAGGCAGGAGAAATACAACACTATACAAGGCTGCTTCTTCACACCGGCCAGGAAAACACAAATGGAGACTGTGTGACCAACAGCCTGGACACCTCGGCCAGACTGTGTAGGGAGTATGCCCCAGGCGCATAGTTGATGACTCTGAAAGCAGCATCATCCAGTAAAGACAATGTAAGAACACACTTATTCCCCACTCCTTAAGTGTCCATGTGGAGGGGCTAGATTAGCACTCCTGGCCTCTTTCCAAAACCTTCTCTTAATTCTTTTCTATTGAAGAGGAGTGAGCTGTCTGGTAGGTGAACTGAGAGGAAGAAATTGGGCATGTTCAGTTCAGCTCCTTCCTCTATGGAGTCAGTGTTCTTACTCTGGTCAGCTGTTCTTGCCTGGTCTCTGCCCTGTGGCTGAGAATCTGACTGGTGGAAAGCTCAGAGTCACTGTCTGAGACTTGCAGGCAAGTTTAATTCTGGAGGCAATTATAGCAGACACACTTGATATCAGATCTGAAGCCACAGTCACAAATGGACTTTTCCATTATAATGACGATATTTTGACCTCCAAAAGTCTGACTCATAAATTCATCTCTCAATGGATTTCGAACTCAATTGGGAGATAGGATATTTGTCCCCAAATACAGCAATAGACACAGTATTTTAAATTTTTATAATTATTTAAACTTTTATTTTAGGTTCAGCAGTACATGTGCAAGATTGTCATATAGGTAAACTTGTGTCACAGGGTTCTGTTATACAGATTATTTCGTCACCCAGGTACTAAGTCTAGTACCCAATAGTTATTTCTTCTGATCGTCTCTCTCTTCCCACCTCCACCCTCAAGTAGGCCCTGTGTCTGTTTTCCCCCTCTTTGTGTTCATGTGTTCTTATCATTTAACTCCCACTTGTAAGTGAGAACATGCAGTATTTGGTTTTCTGTTCCTGTGTTAGCTTGCTTAAATTTTTACTAATATGATTTGGTAGAGACAGGGTCTTGCTATGTTGCCCAGGCTAGTCTCGAACTCCCAGCCTCAAGTGATCCTCCCATCTGGACCTCTCAAAGCACTGGGATTACAGGCATAAGCCACTGCACCCTGACAGTTATAGTATTTCTAACTTAACATATAATTTGATTTTGAAATTAACATTTTAATTTGACATTACAAAATATGTGTATATTATCTGCAAATCTATTTTATTTAGAGATGAAAGCCCTAGCACATTACAACACAAGCCCACAGTATTGATTATTATCTGCAGCAAATGTAATAATATCTCATATGTTGACATGTTTTCGTGAGCACGTAAAGGTTCCAAAGGCAGCAACGGAGAGTTTAAGCACTACACAAACACCTACATTATGACAAAATACCTTCAATTGGAATTACCTGAGGCTGGGAATCAATGGACAGAAAAGACGAACAAGCATCATCTATCTGTAGAAAACAAAAATGTCAGTTACATCCTGGGAATGGACAGAAAATAACAGAGAGTAGATTTTACAAAGTCACATTACCTATGGAATATTAACCACAGTTCCATGACAGTTTAGGACTCTGGATTTGGAAGAGAGGGGCCTCAAAAACTTTATAAGAAAGTCTTGGAAATGAGACTTCCCTCAAGATGTCACCCTAACCACAGGGTATACGTCTCTAGTGACTGCTGACGGGGACCATCCTAGGGCATGGAGATGCCTCACATTAATATATTGAGGAAAAGACTGTCACGTATTATTTAGTGTGAGAAATGTGAGAGCTGACTAAAGAATGAGCTTAAAATTAAGGCAGACCTTTGGTTACCATATGGTTCTGTATGACACATGAACCTAATGTCACCTAAATTAACATAATAACAGTATGATAAACAGCATGCCAGAAAAATTGTTCATACAACATAGGCAATCCACTAGATCTCTCCCATGAAACCAGTATTGGAAGAGAGTTCTATTTTATAATGAGGGTTTACTGAGCTACAGTTGGCAACTATTCTCAGCCCTTATCCTAAAAAGAAAACTTGAGACTTTAAATGGTAGAATGAGAGATTCACATTAATCATAAAAACTATGCTGAGAATTTAAGCACTAAGCTGGATGTATGGCATTGTTTATGACATTTATTTCTTTGATGGCCTTTTAAAATGGAACTGGAAAAAATGGTACTGATTCTTGTCTCTCCGGAATGATTGAGGTTGAGTCCTATTTATGGCATTCCATCTCAGAGGCCCGTTTCAGTCCCAGAATTCTTCTTCTCATACCAGGGGGTGGATTATTATACTTCACTGTCATAAATTCTCAAGCTCCTCATTGCTTCTAAGTTGAACATGTCCTAAAATATATTATTTCCTAACTTAGAGAATAACAAAGGTATAAGATAATATAGAAAAGCATAAGCTTATGTCTTCTTCCTTTTTATCCTCACAGAACTTTTATCCTCCTTTTATCCTCATCTTCCCTTTATTTCCCAAATATTTGGGGAATTGTTTGTTCCACTCATCCTTTGCGCCCACCCAGCTGGTCCCTCTTCCATGCCTTACAAACCTGAAATCATGGTCGCGCACACACACACACACACACACACACACACACTCTCTCTCTCTCTCTGGGTAGGGGCCATGTCATTGCTAAATTGCCCAGAATAAGTGTTTAACAAAAATCCTTTAATTAAGTTGAATTAAACTTGCGGGGGAAAAAAGTGAATTGAGAGGGCAAAGTCAAAAAGATAACCATTTTAAAGCTCTGACTTTTGAGCAATGCTTACTACATCACCTCCAAATGTCACCTTCTGTGGTTTAGTAGGGTAAAAGTAAGTAGTTTCTCCTGAGTTTTTTATGGTGTGCAGGTATCTGAACACATTACCCACTCCAGGGGAACGTTGTCCACACACAGACCAGGCTGCCCGTCTATGTGAGGTGGCCCATGTTCAAGAACAGAGAACCTTTGAATCTCAGGACATCAACGCCATTTGAATAAAAACATGACACTTTAAAAAACCCCCGTTAGTCAAATTAGGAGATAGCTGCAAAGTTTTTCAGTCTTTTCTCACATTTCTTTGAAGGACACAGGAACACTGCTTGCCCACTTTCCATTTGAGTAAGCGTTTGTTCATTGTACTCAGCATATGGCTCTAATGGTTTTTTATGCCACTGATTGGTTTTGAGAACTCTGTAGAGACCATTGGTAAATCTCATTGAAAATGTTTAGGTCTCTATATATGGTTAGGAAGAATGTGTTTCTAGTGTCTGGGTAGCTCTGTATTTATTTATTTATTTATTTTTATTTTACTTTAAGTTCTGGGAAACATGAGCAGAACGTGCAGGTTTGTTACATAGGTATACACATGCCATGGTGGTTTGCTGCACCCATCAACCCATCATCTGGGTTTTAAGCCCTGCATGCATTAGGTATTTGTCTTAATGCTCTCCCTCCCCTTACCCCCCAAGCCCCTCCCACCAACAGGCTCTGGTGTGTGATGTTCCCCCTCCCTGTGTCCATTTGTTCTCATTGTTCAACTCCCACTTACAAGTGAGAACATGTGATGTTTGGTTTTCTGTTCCTGTGTGCAGTGGTACAATAAGAGCTTACTGCAGCCTAGACTTCTTGGGCTCAAGTGATCCTCCCACCTCAGCCTCTTGAGTAGGTGGCACCACAGGCAAGCACCACCATGCCTGGCATATTTTTTATTATTTATAGAGATGAGGTCTCACTATGTTACCCAGGCTGGTCTTGAACTCCTGAGCTCAAGGCATCCTCCTGCCTCAGCCTGTCAAAGAACTGGTATTAGGCCTGAGTCACCGTGCCCAGCTGCATCTTAACTTGTTTAAATATCTTTTTTTCTGTAAAAGAATGTATACTGCTTTTGCAACTCTGAGTTTTTTCCAGCATTATCATCTAAAGTATTTTTCCAAATATTTTCCATGGAAATATAGAATATTTCAAGCTAAAATAAATGTGTCTGTACTATACATTAATATCTGTTATCTAAGTCACTCTTCATCTTATTTATATTTCCAGCATGTACCTAGATATTCTACCAAGGCAGAGGCCCTTGTAATACACACTTGATGAATTTCTATACTATTGAAGACTGTTTTGTACTTGGCACTTGGCATCTATCTTATCTTTTCCCTTATATATTTTGTTAGGGGTGGCCTAGGTACAAAGGGTACTCTTCTCAGTTCATAGCTCACTATCATCATTAGCCTTGCTTTATTTATTTATTCTTTTTGTATTTCCATTTCCTACCCCCATTCCACCCTCCTATAGGCAACTCTTCTAGTGTATTTGAGGCATATCCTCCATTTGTATATGTTTTTGTAAAACCCATATTGTTGTTTTGTGTGTATGTATATTTTCTTACTTTTTTTCCACTTAACACTATCCACTGAGACCTATCCATGTTGCTGGGTGTGTATCTAGCATGTTGCTTCAAGTGCTGTAGTATATTCTATAATGTGTTCCCACCACATGTTGCCTAACCACTCCCCAGTGAGAGACAGCTGGGTTCCCTCCAATTCCTCCCACTATAAGCAAAGCTATAATCAACCTCCTTGAATCTGTCCTCCACTTATGGATCTGTGGGAGAATATCTTTGGGCTATCTACCCAGGAGAGGGAATGCTGGATCATGGGGATGTCTAGGTTGTTTTCTAGATGGCTCTACCAGTTTGCACTCTGCCCAGCAATGCATGAGGGTTTGTAGACCCCACATCCTTGTTAACATTTGTGATTAACTAGATTTCAATTGTTTTGCTAGTCTAATAGGTAGAAAGTGACACTTTGCTCTTGTCCCAATTTTCATTTTATTGTTACTAATGAACATGTTTATATGTTTTAGATGTTTGTTAACCTTTTGAACTTCCTCTTCTGTAAACTGTTCTTATCCTATGACTATTTTTATTTTGAAGTCTTATCTTTATCCAGTTGATTTGGTGTAGTTTCTTATATAATCTAGAAAAGCAACTCCGTATCGGTTTTAGACATTGTCAATATCTTCTTTGAAAGGCTCTTACCAGCTGGGCAGGGTAGCTCACATCTGTAATTCCAGCACTTTGAGAAGCCGAGGTGGGCGGATCACTTGAGGTCAGGGGTTCGAGACCGGCCTGGCCAACATGGCAAGACCCTGTCTCCACTTAAAATACAAAAACTAGCTGGGCATGGTGGCACATGCCTGTAGTCCCAGCTACTCAGGAGCCTAAGGCACGAGAATCACTTGAACCCAAGGAGGTGGAGGTTGCAGTGAGCAGAGGTCATACCACTATACTCCAGCCTGGGCGACAGAGCAAGGCCCTGTCTCAAAAACAAAAACAAAAAACCAACAAAGGCTCTTACTTTTTTCCATGGAGTCCTTTGCTGAAAGAATTTTCACTTTTAATGTAATTTAATTCATGAATGTTTTTGGCCTTACGATTTATATTTGAAGTTTCTTACGATTTATATTTGAAGTTTCATTCAAGAAGTTTTTTCCCTGCACCTAGCTAAAAAAGATATTGTCCTACAAGATTTTCTACTAACTCTATAATTTACAATATATTTCCTTCTTTAAGGGTGAGGTGGCTAAGGTATTTATCTACCAACTCCCTTTGGTCTCCAATTGGGGGCTGCTGTCAGTGGTGGGGTCATTTATATTCAGGCACTTCTGGCTGGCCCAAGTACAGGCAGCACAGGAAAAGTCATGGACGCTTGCAATCAGAAACTATAAATTTCCAGTGCCCTGGGATGGCAAATGCCAAAGGGATATGACAGGTACTGGCGGTGACTGCTATACTCGCCAAGCTCTAGTCTCTGTTCCATTGGTTCATTCTGTCTGTTCTTGTGCAATTTCCATGCCTCTTTTTTTAATTACTGCAGTTTTTATACTATGTCTCAATATCCAATAAGGCAATTCCCAGTAGTAGCTCTTCATATTTAAAATGTCTTCAGCTATTTGTAGACCTATATTTTTCCATATCAATTTTAGGTTAAATTTTAAGGTTTTTTTTTTTAGGTAAATTAAATTGTTTGGGATTGCATTGATTTTATGGGATTTATATTTATTAACAAGGAAAAATGATATTTTTATTATGTTAAATTAATTGTTTCATCCAAGAGAGAATGTCTCTCCAAATACTTATATCATCATCTATTTTCTTTATTAGAAACTAATTTTCTACTGCATAAATTTAGGGTGTGTTTTTGGTTAATTCCTAAATACAGATTTTGTCACTATTGTGTATACTACAGTATTTTAAACTGTACTTTTATGTTACTTTTGCCTAGTGAAAAGAAATGTTATTGAATCTTGTATATTGACATTACATCCAAAAATCTCCTGAACTCTCAAACTAGTTCTAATAGTTCAAGAGCAAGAAGTTTGTTAATGCAATTCATTGCAGTTATAGACTAAAAGAGAAAAAGCATATTGTTTATCTCAATAGTGACACAAATAAAGTATCTAAGTTCACATTTTATTTAGGATTAACAAAACTCTTAGCAAGATAGGAAAATAAGATAACTTTCTTAACTGGGTAAACGTTATGTATCGAACTTCTAGAGCAAGTTTATACTTTATGAAGAAGCTTTAGATACATTTACTGTGTAAGATAGTAAGCAGGCCTTGGCCAGTGATACAAGGAAAGAAGAAATTGTTCCTTCAGTGCTTATCATGTTACCACTGCACCTTTTTTGGCACAGCATATTGATCTAGGAATTTATCCATTTCATCTAATTTCAAAATTATTACCAGATAGCTGTCCATACTTTCTTCTTAACAGCTTTACTGAGATATAATCCACAAGCCATACAACTCACCCACTTAAAGTGCACAACTCAAAGGTTTTTAGTGTATTTACAGAGTTGTGCAACCATCCATCACACAATCAATTATCCATAATATTATTTTTAAACTTTTTTTATATCTCTATTTTTCTTGGGTTCTACCTTTTTTGGTCTATATCTTGTTTCTTTGCCTTCCCCTTTGCCTTTTGAAATCAGTACCACCAGCGTTTAACTTACTGAAAGAACAAATATATGGTTTTGCTAAAACTGTTGCTCCACTCTTTTTTAAAAATTTATTGCTGCCATTATTATTATTACTATTATTATTTATTCTTTTTTGAGATGGAGTCTCACTCTGCCGCCCAGGCTGGAGTGCAGTGGTGCCATCTCAGCTCACTGCAACCTCCACCTCCCAGCCTCCCGAGTAGCTGGGATTACAGGCACGTGCCACCACGTACAGGTAATTTTTGTGTTATTAGTAGATGGGGTTTTACTATGTTGACTGGGCTGGTCTCGAACTCCTGATCTCGTGATCCGCCCACCTCGGCCCCCCAAAGTGCTGGGATTACAGCCAGTACGCCCTGCTTATTTTTATTATTTACTTCATTCGTGTTTCTTCTAATTTTCCCTGTTCTTTTGCACCTCATTTTTAGCAGAATGCTTAGCTTATTAATGTTTTTAAATTTTCTTCTCTCCTGATAAACACATATGAAGCTAAAATTTCTCTCTAGCTACTGTTTTAGCTGTAGCTTATATGTTTTGAGTTATAATGTTTTTATTTTTTTCCTGAAGGTCTATCAGTTGTTAAATAAATTTTAAGGTTGCATTATTAGTTTATATTAATGATGTCTATATTTTCTTGTTCTGGTTTTCTTTTATTAACATATAAGATCCTTATTTGTCTGTTATGACGGTTTATTTATTTGAATTCTATTTGATCAGATATATTCTCTTTCAGTTTGTATTTGCTTGCTACATCATTTTCCATCCTTTTATACTTAGTCTTTTTTTGTTTTCTGTTTTAAGTGTGATACTGATAGACAATATATATCTGGATCTATTTTTTAAAATCCAATCTTAGAACCTCTGTCTTTTAAGTACATACACATTTACTGTAACTACTCTGTTCTTGTATTATTCTATTTTATCCTGTTATTGGCATTTGTTTCTGCCCTCTTAACCATTTACAAAATTTTTGTTTCTTTTCTTCTTTCCTTCTCTTTTATTTAATAAAAATAGTAATTCTGGGTTTTATTATGAGATTATTGGTAAAATCATAGTTCTCCCAAAGCTCAATTATAGATTTTAACATGATAATTTCAAAGAAGGGTAAAGTTTCTACAAATCTGTGTGATGATAGTTCCTTACCTCATTCCACAACTGTAGCTGTTGTGCAGGCTGTAATCCTTGAGGTGATATTGGAGCACCTAAAAATAAAGTTATAGCCACAGGTTAATTTTATAGCATTTCTTCTAAAATTAAATATCCATATATAATTCTTCCTTGGACACTTTCTTCATTTTTCACTGTACATTATCACCCACCTATTTCAACTAAATATTTCAGCATTAGATTTAGTACAAGGAGACATAATTACTAAACAAACCTTAATAACATTACAAAGATATTACTCTCAAGAATGAATTACTTATGTCTACAGACAAATAGAAACACACCTCATGCTCATGAATTAGAAGACTGAATATTGTGAAAATGATCATACTGCCCAAAGCAATCTACAGATTCAATGCAATTCCCATCAAAACATCAACATCATGTTCTACAGAACTAGAAAAAACAATCCTAAAATAAAACCAAAAAGAGCCCACATAGCCAAAGCAATACTAAGCAAAAAGAATGCATCTGGAGGCATCACATTACTGGACTTCAAATTATCCTATAAGGCTATAGTTACCAAAACTGTATGGTACTGGTATAAAAATAGGCATTTAGACCAATGGAAAAGAATAGAGAACAAAGAAATAAAGCCAAATACTTAAAACCAACTATTCTTCAATAAAGTATACAAAAACATAAATTGGAGAAAGTACACCCTTATTCAATAAATGGTGCTAGGAAAACTGACAAGCCACATACAGAAGAATGAAAGTGGATCCTTATCTCTCACCTTAAAAATCAACTCAAGACATATCAAGGACTTAAATATAAGACTTGAGACAATAAAAATTCTAGAAGGTCCATTGGAAAAAACCTTTTGGACATTGGCTTAGGCAAAGAATTTGTGACTAAAACCCCAAAAGCAAAAGCAACAAAAACTAAAATAAATAAATGGGACCTAATTAAACTAAAAAGCTTCTGCACAGCAAAAGAAATAATCAGCAGAGTAAACAGAGAACCCACAGAGTAGGAGAAAATATATGCAAACTATGCATCCAACAAAGGACTAGTATCCAGAATCTACGAGGAACTCAAATCAGCAAGAAAAAAACAATCCCATCAAAAAGTTGGCAAATAACATGAATAGACATTTCTCAAAAGAAGATATACAAAGAGCCAGCAAACATATGAAAAAAAATGCTCAGCATCACGAATCATCAGGGAAATGCAAATTAAAACCACAAGTTAATACCTTACTCCTGCAAGAACAGCCATAATTAAAAAGTCATAAAACAATAGATGTTGGCATGGATGTGTAAAAAGGGAACACTTTTACACTACTGGTGGGAATGTAAACTAGTACAACCACTATGGAAAACAGTACGGAAATTCCTTAAAGATCCAAAAGTAGATCTATGGGTTGATCCAGCAATCCCACTACTGGGTATCCATCCAAAGGAAAAGAAGTCATTATATGAAAAAGACACATGCGCACACATGTTTATAGCAGCAAAATTTGCAACTGCAAAGATATGGAAACAACCTATGTTCTTATTGACCAACAAGTGGATAAAGAAAATGTGGTGTATATATACACCATGGACTATCTCTCAGCCATAAAAAGGAACAAAGTAATGTCTTTCGCAGCAACCTGGATGGAGCTGGAGGCCATTATTTGAAGTGAATGGGAAACTAAATACCATATGTTATCACTTATAAGTGGGAGCTAAGCTATGAGGACATAAGACATAGAGTGATGTAATGGACTTTGGGGACTCTGAGGTGGGAGGCTAGGAGGAGGCTGGGGGATAAAAGACTACATATTGGGTATAGTGTATGCTTCTTGGATGACAGGTACACTAAAAACTCAGAAAATCAGTCTGGTTGATTGCATATCCTGACAGATTTTTTTTTCCTAATTCTATCATGTTTTAGGCAACTCTTGCCTTGAATTCATACAAGTTTTTACTGTTATTTCATTTAAGTTCTGATAACAGCAATAATAATGACAGTAATCAACTACATTTTCTGTGGCACTAAGCATTAGAAACAACTTAGAGAGGTCATGCAGTCCATAAAAGAGTGGCTTTATTTCAGAACCTGACAGAGTCCCCTCTCATGGGACAACTATTGAACGTGGGTAAACAATCTTACACACTTCTCAAATATATATTTCTCACCCTACCATAAACATATATCCCAAAGTCACAGTTGTCTGGTAGATCATACCCGGAGCTCATTGTTTTCAGGAAGGGATAAAGCTGTGCTTCTCAAATTTCCATATAAAACACCTGATGATCTCACTAAATGAGATTCTGTTTGACAGAGCATTCCTGTTTAAATAATGCTATTTTTTATTCTTATACTTTTGACCATCCCTGGCCCCCAGTAAAAGTGGAAGCTTCCACCTCAACTTCACTGTGTTCAGACACACCGCCTCATCAGGACCATGGAGAGTTTGCTTCCTTCCATTTCCCAAGCTCGCATGGGCCCTTAGAAAGGCCACTATGCCTAACTTAGCCCCAGGCACTTCCATAAAATAGAAAAAGGACATTTTGTGGCCCTTCTAAAAACATGTAAACACAGTTTCATGGTTAAAAAAAAAAGATAAAAAGAAGAGACAAAATTTTTTTTAAAATTCTATGATTTGTAGAAAACGACTAATATCCTGGCCAGGCACACTGGTTCACGCCTGTAATCCCAACACTTTGGGAGGACGAGACGGGCAGATCATGAGGTCAGGAGATCAAGACCATCCTGGCTAACACGATGAAACCCCATCTCCACTAAAAATACAAGAAAATTAGCCGGGCATGGTGGCAGGCACCTGTAGTTCCAGCTATTCGGGAGGCTGAGGCTGGAGAATGGGGTGAACCCAAGAGGCGGAGCTTGCAGTGAGCCCAGATGAGGCCACTGCACTCCAGCCTGGGCGACAGAGCGAGACTCCGTCTCACGAAAAGAAAAAGACTGACGACTAATATCCTATGACTGAACCCAAACGTAAGGGGGAGTTATTCTTTCCTTTGTCTATGTGTTAATTAGAGTCAATGTGATTTTCATTCTGGATATGGACTTCACACTGTCAAAGAGCAACACTGTACTTAGATCACTTTCTGTGTTTTCAGAGACAGTGCCTATATCATAAAAACTGTACTGTTTTTGATAAGTTTCAGTGAGAAACTTCAAGATATTTATACTTCATTACTATTTAGCAAAGTGAAATCTTCAGTATTATACAGTATACTCTGCTGAAAATAAAAACTTGTACATCCGTAAATACATTATGTATAAGAAAGACAGACCTGATTATTCTAAAAGTAGTGCCAATTTTCTTTTCTCATGGCGAGTATGTACTTCACTGTGGGTTTGGGAAGTGAGAAATCTTTACTGCCAAGTGAACGTTAAGAATTATTCTATGAGCAAGAGGCCTGGGCAGGAAAAGACACTCCTTAACTTAGTCTTGACCATTTGATAACTTATTGTCACAGGCAAAATCAAGTAACAGTTTGTTGCAGATATCCAAAATGTGTTCCTCTTATATAAGTTTCCTTCTTTATTTTACTAGTGTGCTCTGAATAGTAAATTGTTTCCATCCACTGAATCTGTGGCTGACCTTTTATCTTCGCATGACCCTTTATCTTTTTTTATTTCACTAGTGTGTTTATTTTCCTTCTTTATTTTACTAGTGTGCTCTGAATAGTAAATTGTTTCCATCCACTGAATCTGTGGCTGACCTTTTATCTTTTTTTTTCCAAGGATGCTGCATTTAATGACACTTTTATTTTCCTCTGGCATTGCAACATTTGTTGTGTTGTTTTTTGAGGCATCCAGTTGCATCTTGCATGATGATTGACCATGGTAGATAATCTCTGGGTTTTGCTTATGTATGTCACATCCCCCTCGGTGCCATCTTTAGGGACTCAGGACTCGGACAGATCACATGGCTATTCACCCTCTCCCCATCCTACCACATTTTTAAAGAGATACAATTCATTTTTTAGTATTCAGAGCCTGTCTGAAGGGGAATGAAGATGCAAAAGGGCAATCTAGGGGGCTTCTGGGTAGTAAAGGAAGTATCTCATTCTTTTGCTTGAAAAATATTGGGGTTATCTATGAGACGATTGGTATGTCAGCAGATATGCTCTTTTGGAAATAAAAACCAAGACTCATCTCTTTTAGGAACCAGCTGCTGCTTTCTATACTGTTCAATCACCAGCAGTCTGAAATTCTCCAACCCATCCCAAGGCAGTTATCTCTGATGCAAATTTCTCTGCATGCAAAATTCACTGATGCCAAATTCACTGCAAGCATATAGCATGCAAATGCATAGAAATCCATTTTCTTTACATAGCAAAGTCACTTTTCAAACTATGCTTATCTGCATCCTTAAGAAGGCAGATAAAGATTACCATCCAAAGTTACCAATAATATATTTAAAATCCTAAAAGATGAACATTTACCTTGGGAGAAAGTAATGTATCACTACTGGCTATGTGGAGAACGTTTGGGTTTGCTAGCTTCTGACTGCCTGGATTTCAAAGCCAAGTTATCTTGCTTTTCAAGTAGGGGAGTCTCTCTCTCTCTCTCTCTCTACACACACACACACACACACACACACACCCCTCCAATGCCTCAGGAAAGGACAAAATCAAAACAATGAGAGGAGAACAGTAAAAATAAATAGATTAGGAAAAGCATAGCGCTCTCTATTTCCCCATCTCTAATTGAGGGCTGGACTACAGGCTCTGCAGTTGTGATTTTAAGTACCCAACGTTCTGAACAATGACACAACAGTCTGCCACTTTTACCTCACTGACAGGAGAGGAGAGGGAAGCTAAGAGAACCTCCTGCCAAGCTAGAAAATTTATGGATGTAGCCAGGCAGTGGTTGACAATGGAGGGACCCCTGACTTGGGTATGAATAATGGTGCCCATAAGCAACCTGCAAACGTAAGCTGTAACCCTTGGAGAACCCAGAAAATGATCTCTCCATGCAAATCTCTCCAGAACGTTTGCATTCTGCTCGGCTATGTCTCCAAAGCTTCCGATCTCCTTCCCTGACCTTGCGTTTCCTATTTCTTTCCTCTAAGCCAAGCTCAGGAAGTCCCTATTGTTATCAAATCACATCTGCCATCACTTGCTGTAGCTGTCGCACTGCCTGAAAGCCTGGTTTGCACATTTGCCTCTTCAACTTTGTGTGATGAGAAGTTCTCTATTCCTTTTCCTGATCTAGTGCCTGAAAACCGATAAAACACAAAGCCCACTCCTTCCCCCTTCTAAGCGGTTAGCGCGTGGGGCCCGTTGTACCGCTCAGGTTTATGTCAACATAACACGAGCTCACTCACCAAACAGGCTGAGCACTCGCCAAGTTTACCTTGCCTCAGCGGACGAAGTATCAGGCTCACTCTTGTTTTGCTTCGACCATCAATCCCTTCAATAATTGCAATCAAAGGGAAGGCATTTTAACGTTCACTATTTTAATACCCGTTTCCACGGGCCAGCGGGGCTGGAAATCCAGAGGATGAGGGAGCCCTACCAGTCTCCACCTATCGCAGTCGGCCCCGCGCAGGGTCTCCGCTGGGCATCAAAGCGCGGGGCCTGGGGATTTCGGCCCCGGCCGGGTCCCTTGCTCCTATGTCGCTAGTTGCTCTAGGGGGGCGATCTGTGCCTGGGAGGCGGGAAATCCCGCGGCACCAGA